TTAGTTCTTGTTACGGTGTAAAAAAAATCAATGTAACATTAATAACCGAAAAAAGTATGTTGTTTCGTGGAAAAAAAATAAAATAAATGGTGCAATGCCTTGGTGGATGATTAATTTTAAATTTGATAAAAGTGTCTCTATTTTTTCTTCATCCAATGTAATCCACCTAATTTTGAGGAATCCGCGGCGTCTAATTGTTGTGTTGCATCGCGTTGTACTTCATAAGTAAACAAAATACACCCCAAGAAACTCAACTTCTCCATTCAAACAACTCCGGTTTTACTCAAAACAAAAAAAAAAAGGGTTGTAATAACAAATATAATCTTTTGTGAAAAAAATCCCGAAAATCGGCTTAGTTTGTCGTTAAACACGAGCAGTAAATCACGGCGCAGTATTAAAAACAATCCCTTTCGACGGAAAACCCCTTTTTTTTCTGTCCCTCCCACGTGTGTTGCACACCTACATAACTTAATAGACGAACACGTGATAAATTGTTTGCCCCTGCAAGGTTTCATATTCGAGCACACATATGCATCTCTAAACAACACCCCCACCCACGCGCCGTAGGTATGCAAGAAATTGCACTCGAACACGTAATATGAGCGAAGAGCAGCCCCCCGTGCACTCGGTATTTAGAAATACAAACACACTTGGAGGAAAGAGTCTCTCTCTCTCTTTCGCTGCACTTTGAGTTTTCTCGGGAATGGGAAAGCGAGAGAGAAAGAGAGAGATAGGGATATAGGAAGAGCAACACATACACGTGCCACGGACTAATATGGTTCTTTATTATTTTAGCGGGCAAGACTGCTTTGCAGCGACTCTTTTAGCGCGCACAGACCCTCTCCGTTATACTTGCGTGTTATTCAAGAAAACGAGAGTACAAGTATAGGCTCTCTCTTAACTTTGCCCCCCCCCTCTTTTTTTTAAATATTTTTTTTTTGTTTTTTTGTTTTTATGCTCCCAGTTAAAGCCTTCCCGTGGACGGATATTTTATGTACGTCGTGTAACGTGTGTGTCGATTCTCTTGTTGCGGAAGGAGAGAGAACTCTAAGCTCCGCGAGAGAGAGTTTCTTTTCTTTGCAGATTATGCGCGCACACTCCGCGTCAGGATGATGCTCTTTTCTCGGGACGGTTGCTGCCACTGGGCCACTACTTCTGTACTCATACTTGGCGGCGAGTTTGTGGCGCCTGAATATTAAACAGAGCATGGAAACGACTCGCCGCTAAATAATTGCGAGCAGCCTTTTTCATAATGAGTAGTTCGGTCATGAATTTGAAAAAAGTCGTGTGAACAGGAGTTTTTCATAGATTTTTTAATCATCCATGCAACGTATTCGATTTTGAGATGATTCGTTCTATCAGTTATCGAAAATTTAAAAAAATCATAAATTGTGCTGTCCGTCCTACACTGCTGAATCGCATTGAGTTTTAACTTATTGTAAAGTCTATTATTTGATGTGCCATTATTTGAAGGAAAAAAACAATTTAGAATAAAAAGAGTACTTGAAAAAGTAATTATATAAATGTTTGAACTTCAGTATCTAAAATGTATTGCACTTATCTGCCTGAAAAAAAAAATTTGATTAATGTTGTATTATTAATATAGTAATGAATAAAGAAATATTTTCAGCAAAAATAATTTCCTTTGAGATGTTGTCAAAATCCAAGTTTAAAAATCGTAACAATCGGACAAATCTCTTTCATTGGCGTAAGAGAAATATTTGCAGAAATAAGTTATCACGAGCCAGAAATACGCAAAGTTATAGTGAACAAAGAAAAAAAGTTGGTACACCCGCTCTCGCGCACGTAATTCGTGATAGGCGTAGATTGGGTGACACATATACGAGAGAAAACAATCTCGGATTTTTCGTTCGACGCAAATGAGATGTCAAAGGTTGTTGACCAAGTACTCCCGGACTCAAGCTGAAAAAATATATTCCTTATAGGAGCTGTACCAAAGAAAATAAATTGCACCACTCTTGCGGTGTGGCAATGCATCAACAGTAGCAGGTACTCGCAGTAAAGTTTACTATAAAAATACGACTATTAGGCGCGTGCTCCCTTGTCACTTTTCACTTTACACCTCCTATTTTTCAGGTTTTTTTGAAATTTTATTTTCGCTGCGACCCGCCAGTCGTGAAATCTTTCCCGATGATTTCGTCAGAGAGTTACGCAATCGAAGGGCCGTTTTTTTCTTTTTCTTTTTTTTTTTTTTTTCAGGTACATTAACGCACACTGTGAACCGTATTGTTTTTAAGTTTATTTATAAACTAAAATATGTTTGAGATGTAGTTGCATTTTAATTGTTTCAATAGAAAGAAAACATTGAACAATGAAGAATTGGTCAACAAAACCATTTTTTTTTTTTTTTTTTTTTTTATCATAAATAAACTTATCGCGAAAAGGCAGTGCTAAAGTTAGCTCGAAAACTAAGCACATTCACACTCCGTGGAATCAACATTGAAGTGTGTTACGATAACAGCTCATCGTTTGGCGCGGAAAAGTAGCCATATTCCGGACGAGTATTACAGTACACACGCCAAGGAGCAAGAAAAATTCTAATCAACGTCGATTACTCGTATTGGGTGAAAGAAACGGATGATTCGGATGTTGGTTGAAACGGACACCACGTAATTCGGAAGGGGAAGAAAAGTTCTCGGAATCGGCTGGTTTTACATAAAAAATCGAAATTAGCTGTTGGTCGGTCGATATATTATATACATAGGGAACAGCAAGATGCAGCAGAGGCCAAACGACATTGTAAAATACCGAAACTGATAAGCAGCGGGGAGAGAGAGAGATATGTTTTTCTTTCTCCTCCTCTTTCGTTTGGCTTTTTCTCTCTTCGGAATTCGGTGAACTTTGACTCGTACAGCGAGAGATGATGTCTCCGTTGTGAGTGTACGTGTCCATATTTATACTGAGGCGCTCCTACTTGCCCCACCTACCGCTGCGAGCATCGATTTTTCTAAAACAACAACAGAATCGAAAGACATGACGTGACGGGCCGCGTTTTTGTCGATCGGGCCGTTTCGGGTGTGCGGCCAAGATTAGGGGAAGATAATGAGATTTTTATTTTTGTGATCCACCACCGCCCCGAGCTCTCGACCCCGCCCATGATGATTTTTAGACAAGAGTGCGCGTGTGTGCATCTATACAACAGCTTAGAGGATTATATTGACGAACTACTTGATTTTTGGAAGATGACGATGCATCGCACCGTCGGTTTTGTCTTTATTATTTGTGTGATGATTTCTACAATAGCAATGGACCGCCAACGGAGCAATTTTCTGTTCATCTCTCGCCAATTTGTTTCGGAATAAGGTGGTCATTATTTTTGTACTGGCTTCAATCGGATTTATAATTTAATAGCTTCCGTTTTATGAATGAGCCGGAGTTTTATAATGAAGCGATTGTGCACGCGCTCGCGTTTCCTGAAAAACTCAACAGCCCGCCGCATTGATGTGTATCTTGTTAAGTTGGCGTGGCGGACGGATGCTTCGTATTTCACTCGTTACTAAAGCAAATTACGAAAGTGTATTAACAAATCGCACGAGGTCTTCACATTTACACTTTATACGTTCAAATTAATGATGAATGTGTCGATTTAAAAATAAATGGCAGATTTATTAACGCGGTATGTACTCTTCAATACTTCGTTCATACATTAATTAACACCATTTTGTTATTTTAATATACTTTATTCAAATACAATAGTCAAAAAAAATATTTCATTTGAAGCAGAAGCTTGAATAAATAATATATTAGACGTCAACTTTTCTTTTCGGTTCGGTAATAATAAATTGCAATCACGAACCTTTTTTTTTTATTTTCAATGAAATAATCGACATCGATAAGTTTTTCAGTTTTAAAGTATATTATTTAAAATACAAAACTTTAAACAAAGCATCAAGATCGCTATTTCAAAATTATTTTTAAAAAACCATTCGTAATTTATTAAAGTAATTTATGAATTTTTTTCAATTCGTTTGATCGAATACAGACGTATTTAACAATTCATTAAAAACAATTTACACCTTTTTAGTAGTAAAAATTTCGTAAACAAATTTCGTAAACACAACAACAATGTTCATCTATTGGCCCCGACTTTTTACCTATGCCAACTCTCGGACAAAAACAGAAAATTTGCAAACTCGTATTCATCGACTCCCATGAAAAAAAAAAAAAAAAAAACCAAATCAAATTTATAACCAGCCGATCGACCATGTGCTTATTCATTCGAAAAACAAACGCTCGGTCCTCTTCCGCAAACACAAACTCCACTGCCGGTCATTATGTACATTTTGACAAGCCAAAATTCGAAACGAAGCCCCTCCTCGCGTACACCTCTATACCACTATCATAAATCCTCCGCTCAATCCACCCAGGCGCAGTGCAGCATCCGATTTCAACCGAAGCAGCGAGGAAACAAAAAATATTTACGGGCTCCCTGTCTTTTCATTAAAAAAAAAAGAAATAAAATTCGACATGAAAAAGGCTGGCCGACTCTTGATTAAAAAACTATACCCTTTTTTGGCGTTTTTCGTTCCCAAAAAGAAAGCGATGCGATCAATTATCGAGACAAAAACACACGAGGCAGTTCAAGCTCATGAAAAACCACGAACTTACCTCGTGATGTTGTACGCGCATTGCCAATAGTTAGCAAACAAGACGATGCAAAGTCGAGAAAGCAATAGACGAGCAAAGAGAGAAAGCGGGCGCGGGGGAGGGAAAAAAAGGGGGGGGTGGAGGCGAAAGGAGATGAAGAGAGCAGTGCACCGAGAGATAAACGAAGATAAAAAGCAAGCGCTCGCCCAAGAGAGAGAGAGAGAGAGACAGCCTCGGAGGAGATAGCCCCGCGAGCTCTTGTATAACGTGCACACAGTGGCGGCTCACAGAAGCGAGATAGCGCGTATACAGAGGCGGGCACCAAGACGTTGCCTGTGCTGCGAGGGAGTTGACGGAGCTGAGGACTCGAGTATCAGTCGGTTGGTGGAGCCGAGCTAAGTAAGCCGCTGCTCGACTAGGACTTCCACGCGCTTCCGGATTCAAATCGACGCGCCACTTTCGCTCTTTTTCGAATGTCTGCTGGTGCCCCTCGCGCGAGCTTGCAACCCCGATAAGACTACTACGGCGTGCTGTAACTGTCAAATTGCTACTCGGTGTTTAGTGCACATCGCGTCCCCGGTTTTTCTCGGTTGCCGATTTTTCGAGTGATACGCAATGCACGAGTTCAGTTGGTGACATTAAAAAAGAAAAGAAAAAAAAAAGTGAGCTCGTCGTACAGTTCAGTGAAATCGGTGGGGGGGTGCTTACATCCGTCTCACGATAAACTCGCGCGTGGAGAGGGAAGAAAAAGAAATGCAGCCCCAAAAAAGCCATCAGGGCGCGTTTGGAGACTGAGCGTGGGTTATACATAGCGGTGCAGTTTACCGCGAAGGAGAGATCAAAGGCCGGCCGCTGCGCAGTAGCCGGGCTCTCCATGTACCGAGTTTGAGCTCTCGATGGGGAAGAAGCAGCGCAAGGAGCCGAAGGAGATGCCAGACTGGTCGAGACCCCCGAGGAAGGGAAACACCGGCTCCACGGAGCTGCGAGCAGGTAGGCTCGTTTTTTCCCCAAAAGTTTTTTTACGTGAAGTATCGGTACAGGGGCTTATCGCGGGCCAGTGGCTTGTTTTCCAATGATGCTGGAGGTCAATTGTGTCTTTTTTTTTTTTTTTTACAAAACCATTTTTTTTTTTTTTTTTTTTTTTTATCATAAATGTCTNTAGGTCTACCACCACCACCGATTTGTCTCGCGTGCCATCATCAGAGCTCGGTTAATTAACATTTTGTGCACATGCGAGTGTGTATCATCAAGGCTCGAGAGCAGGGGTTGCGCGATCTTGGAACAATCGGTGTTTTTTTTTTTTTTTTTTTTTTTTTTTTTTTTTTTTTTTTTTTTTTTATCTTACGAGTACGTGACGAGAAGAGGGATTTAAAACATTTTCGATCCCACCGACATGACATGTTAAATATACGTATATTCGGTACAACTCGATCGTGGTATATAGTACAGGGCAAAGGCCAAGTATTACCGATCCATCATCTCCGACTGCAAAGCCGATTGCTATAATATTATCATAATGTTGTTCGATTTTCCTTTTTTTTTCCTCATCTAGTTGAATACAGTACACGTATACAATTGCTTTTTTTCCACGCGATATAAATCATTGCCGATTGAATTAACATTTTAATCGACTGTCTGTTCTACTAGTCGCGTAATAACTTAACTGGGACTTGTAGCCGTGCGATACACCGTAAAATCGGTATAAATCTTAATTACACGTTATCGGGGAACAAAAAATGCCCTCACAATGCGCCATTACTTAGCACACACGTACACAATACGATACACACCTATATAGCAGAGCTATTGGATTCTATTAATCCATCGACCAATTACCGATACCGTACGATTGGTGATCGAGTCGAGGGAAGGGAAAAAAAAAAGTAGCTCGTTAGCGTGCCTTGGTTTGTGGAGGAAAAAAAAAAAAAAAAAAAAAAAAAAAAACCACTTGTACAAAACGAAAGAGCCAAGCTAAAGACGCCCTTGGCGTTTTACGGAACTACCGGCTCGTTTACCGCGTGCAGGTCATATTCAAAATAACGCATCATTAAATCGAAGTGACGCGAGAAATCCATTTGCTCGGAAAGCGCGACCGCGTGTACACACCTTTTGTTTCTTTTAGCCCTCGCGATGAAACCGATTTTCTCGCTGTATACAAGTACGGGATCCATTAGGCGCCGACGATCATTTTTCGAGCAGCTGTGCATCAAAAAACGCGCATATCACGCGAACTCTCTGTTACAATATATACACGTATATACGTCTCGATCGGTAGGTCGTAATAAAATTATCTGCCAACGTACGAGGAATCCATACGGGGAGGGAAAAAAAAAAAGCTGATTCGATAAAATTTTATCTATATACGTTAGTCGGTGGTGGATAAACAATTTATGATGCGTAATGAAGAGTTAATTAATTTTGGTAAAAAAAAAAAAAAAAAATGTTGCGCGTCGCGGAGAAAAATCGATTTATTTGGGATGTAAAACCTTGGGCGGGCAAGCGATCGTCTGTTTCGAAGCACAGGGGGATGTTTTCTTGCTGATGGAGGGATCTCAAACGATACTTATGGGTATACGTACAACGCATGTTCCTTCGAAGATAAAATAAACGCGCGTTTTATGGAAAACGTGACGAATAGGTCATTAATACGAGTCAGAAGATCGATACGCTATCAAAAAAGGAGGCTCCGCACTATGCGCGAGAGTTGAGTATAGGTCTACCACCACCACCGATTTGTCTCGCGTGCCATCATCAGAGCTCGGTTAATTAACATTTTGTGCACATGCGAGTGTGTATCATCAAGGCTCGAGAGCAGGGGTTGCGCGATCTTGGAACAATCGGTGTTTTTTTTTTTTTTTTTTTTTTTTTTGACACCTTCTTTTTCAAGTATTCAATGACGAATATATTGAAATTTAGGGAATCCCAATTTTGTGCTTTGTCTACATAATAGAAAAAAAAAGTTTGAATTGAGTTAATTGTGTTTTCATTCGAGTGATTTCAACAAAAATATTAGATGATTATTCTGCACTACTTTGATTTATATACATTTCTGTAACTTGTGGCTGGGGTATAGATTCCATGACTTATACACATAACATTTAAGTTGCTCAATAACAAACAGCGAACTGTGTCAGGTCTGATGGCATTTTTCTATGACTGACTGATATAGATATTAAACTTTTAATCGATATATTTGATAATCACTCGAGCGCATAACTTTTTATCACAGATGCAAAATATACGTCAATTTGTTTATGCTTTTTTAAAATGCTTACAATGCTTCCAGCGTTTCAAATGTGATTGAGTCTTTAATTTCAAAATAATATTTGATTTGCAGTGTGCTATAGGATTTAAAATTTATATGAACAAACGTCTCACGTGGCTAGAATATTATGCACAGTTAAATAAAATAAAAAAAAGCTTGGTAGGTACATTAAAATCGTATACGTTTGCACATTAATTTTTATCATTCGGTATAGAGTAACATTTATGATCATTGCACACCTACACAATAGAAATTATTGTCGAGCGTGTGAAAAAATTTAATAATATTTTAGTAACATTTTCTTTCTCTCGACGCGTATGCGGGGGTATAAATAAAAATTGACGTTAAAAAAAAAAAAAGTGGAAAACAAAGGCGCACCATTCGTCAAACGAAAAACAAACGAGCCAAGGCTCCATTGGAAAATTTATTCCGGAAGCCGATGCGCTTTACATTATTTTTGCCGCCCACGATTCAATGCGCACACATGATGTGTATACACGCGACACAACACAGCAACAGCACACTATACAATATACATGTAGGTATATATGCAAGTGCAAAAGTCGCACGATGCATCATCTGTCGAGTCTACGTAGGGACGCGGGACACGCGCCCGCGCCCACTACACGCGTTGTATACATAAGTGTGCGATTGTACTCCAAGAGGCCTGTGTGTAAATCCAAAAAAAAAAAAAAAAAAAATAAGCTACGGCTTCTGTGCATATATATATACGTGACACGACGGATGCTGCAGGGTCCAAGCCTAATACGCACATCTCCAAGCTTATAAAATCTCGGTGGTGCTCACACATGTATATAATATATACCCTTTCCTCCTAATCTCTCTCGACTTGTCTATTCGAGTGATTTATCAGCGCGTGTTATCGGCTCCGTTGCGGTCCGTACTGGAGATACGCGTCTTCCAGCATCTCGCCTCGAGACTTTTTTTCCCTCCCTCCCCCTCCTCTCTAGTACGTTTTAATTCGATGCACCGTCTCGGTTTCGTGATTTGGACTTTTCGACATAAGCATCGCGTCCTGCGCAGGGCTTTGATGACGACGCAGAAAACGCGTGGGTGTAACGATGAGTCTGAAAAACCTCCCGGCTTGGCGGGTGTCGCGTATAAAATATACATATTTAGTTTTATTTTTTCGTTGGTTTCACAATGGCTGAACAATAATCATGATTTTCGAAGCAACGAGTGTTTGCAAACTCGTGAAAGACCCATAGGTATATATATATATATATTTACATTTTGATGTTCAAAGGGACGAATGGAAAAACTGGTAAATCGTACGGCTTACCGTACCAAGTCTACCAAGCCCTGGTAGTTATTTCACCGTAATGTACAGACACACCGATTTTTATTAGCGCAAATCGAAAGTTTAACGGTCTATCGAGACCTGAATCGACTCTCACAATGGACGCGTGCGATGAAAAAAAAAAAAAAAAAAAAAGTATTCTCTCAAAGGCCGTTGCAACGCTCGTTACTCTCGGATCTTTACGGTTTCCGTCAAAAGGAGGCCCAATAAAGTGTATGTGTGCGCGAACAAGCCCAAAGGGGCCCGTTCCAATTATCCAGTGGCCCCGTAAACCGATCGAAATCAAGAAAAACCCACGGACCGACGCGCTACAATGGATAATCGGTATACATATATACGCATCCGCCAGGCTTTTCATTTCGCGGACGTTCTGCAAAAGTGGAAGGAAAAAATGATACTCTCGTGCACACATGCAGCCGCGGCGCGCATTACAGTGGCCCCCTGTTTGTTTATATGCATCGGCTTGCGCAACGTGCGCTCGTTTCGAGAGATCGGTAATACACCAGCTTGCAATCTCCCTCATCCGATCTCCTTCTCTCTCTCTTCTCTCTCTTATTAAATCAACCGGTATATAAATACACATGCACAATGGCTCACTCTCTGTGGGTGCTTGTTATTGGTCGCGCCTATATACATGTATATACGTATACACCTATACTCTATTTCTTTTCCTTTCTCGCACGCCCATTATTATTTAGCGCTCCCGGATTAATAGACAGTGTCATTATGAGTTCTCGGTGTGGCAACGAGTTCAAGCATATACCAAGTACATCGGTATATAATGACGGTGTACAGCCGGTCAATCAATACCTAGTTCACCATTTGTCCTCTAAGCTGTATTGCGTAATGTGTATAACTCGGGTGTATCGATATCGCTATGGTGTGTATAGTTTGAAGTGGTCGATGGTGTAGGGTATAAATGCGCGCACTTGTGAAAGAAGAAGAAGAAGAAGAAGAAGATGATGATGATGATGATCTCTGATTCAAGTGATGTGTGTCATGGTTAACTGATGTACATTATAAGTATGAGAGGTCGGTTAAGGGTGCATTTTTGTTTAGCCACGATGCAATTTTTTTTTTTTCTCCCCAGCTGAAATGAATGAACGATTGATCTATTTTGCATGTACGTTTGGTTTTGATGGATATGTGTCGATCTTGTTGACTCGGTTGGGCGGTAGGGTGTATATCGGTGCAACGCGTGACTTATATGTTTAGCTAGGACAATGCGGCTATTCAGTCTATGGGGATCGGATCTAGTATTTCCTTTTTTTCCAACTGAGTGCTGTGCACTGTCTCATTAGTCAATCAAAATTTTTGTTTTTCTACTGTATAGTTGTTTCTTTCCCCCCCCCCCTATTAAATTATTTATGCGTTTCGTGTTCAATTTTTGGAAAAGTAAAAAAA